CACTCCAGTCTGGGCGACAGAGTGAGACTCCAACTCAAAAAAAAAAAAAGAAGAAAAAAAAATTTAGCTGGGCGTTGTGGGATGTGCCTGTGGTTCCAGCTACCTGGAAGGCTGAGATGGAAGGATCGCCTGAGCCCAGCAGGTAGAGGCTGCAGTGGCCAGGAGCATGCCACTGCACTCCAGCCTAGGTGACAGAGTGAGACTCCGACTCAAAAAAAAAAAGTCCTTTTTCATTCATATTTAGACCTTCCTGTGGAATCCATCTCTTGGCCCAGAGCACTGCATGATTTGGTCAAATGGGCTTATTAGTCTTATGAGAGGACCATGCTGCTCCACTTGCAGTGGTTGTGGTTACACAAGGCAGGAAATCACAGGCTATAGAGGAACTGGGGCCTTCTTATCTTTCACTGGGTCTGAACTAGGCCTGGGTCACCTCCATCCATTGAGAGCCCCCAGGCACCTGTCATTCTCCTTGGAGGCCTCGAAAACTGCAGGCCTGAAAGCCCAAGGGACAACACCCAGCTGCCCAGGACAGAGAACTTCAGAACACAATGAGATTGTTAACAAGACCCAGATTTCTAGGGAAGCCTGATGTCACAGAATGGAGAAAGCCTAGAGTCAACTCCCAATGTGGCAATAATGCTGGCTATTCAGCAAGAGAAGAGGAAAGAGAGACCCCTGTCCTCCAGGAGTGTCAGTCATCTTACACAGCAGTGGTTTCCTAAGGCACAGATCTTTGGGGGAGGATTACTCAACAACCCAATTTTTTTTTTGAGTTGGCATCTCACTCTTTGTTGCCCAGGCTGGAGTGCAGTGGCACACTCACGGCCATCACAGCCTTGACCTGCTGGGCTCAGGCGATCCTTCCACCTCAGCCTTCCAAGTAACTGGAACTACAGATGCACACCATCACGCCCGGCTAATTTTTGTGATTTATTGTAGAGACGAGGTCTCACCAAGTTGCCTAGGCTGGTCTCGAACCCCCAGGCTCAGGCAATCCTCTCACCTCGGCCTCCCAAAGTGCTGGGATTAGGCTGAGCTACCACGCCTGGCTTACAACCCAATTTTGACCCCAAGATGCTCCCAAACTAGCTGTACTAATTTGGCCTAAGTGCACAAAGGTGCTGGGTCAGCTGCCTAAGAATCTATGAGGGCATGTCTTAAAAGCACAGCTTCTCAAGACTCCAAACCAAGCAGAATATGATCCAATAGGTCTGAGATGAGGGTCTCAGCTCCCTAGGTGATTGTAAACACAGCCACATTTAGAGATTGATGACCTAGAGAACTGGGTTGTGAAATGATTGAGATATATATCTTTAGCTAAAGACACCTCAGAACTTCTTGAAGTTTGGGAAATCTTGGCAGGTCTGTCACTCTCACTGCTAGTCTGCTCTGATCCAGGAAGCTTTTTAAAGCTTTCTAAAGGCAGCATGCAGGAGAAACAGTGCGAATTTCACAATATTTTAATATTTTGCTGACAGCTGACTTTGAAAGGAATGCTGAGTAACCCCCTTGGCTCCCCTCCCATTGTGGGAGCTTTTATGCCCTCTCAATAAATCCTTTCAAAAAAAAAAAGAGAGAGAGAGAGGGAATGATGCCGAATGCAAGTCCGAACGAAAAGTAAAGGCTGGCTGGGTTAGATGGCTCAACCTGTAATCCCAGCACTTTGGGGGGCTGAGGCAAGTGGCCTGAGCTCGCAGGTTCGAGACCAGACCAGGCAACTTGGCGAGACCTCGGCTCTACAATAAAATAAAAAATTAGCCGGGTGTGGTAGCGCGCACCTGTGGTTCTAGCTACTTGGAAGGCTGAGGCAGAAGGATCGCCAGAGCCCAGCAGGTTGACATTAGGGTGGCCGTGAGTGTGCCACTGCACTCCAGCCTGTGCGACAGAGGCTCCAATTCAAAAAAAAAAAAAGAAAAGGCTGCAAAATAACCACCTGTTTCCATAACCCACCTTCCACCTTCCACACACCCTGCTGCCCCTCTAAAGGAGGGCTCAGTCTTCCTAACTTGCTGTCTGGTTACCAGAGACCACAAACAGTACCACTTTATCCTCAAAGATTGCTTTTATTACACAAATGTGACCCCAGTTTCAAGAGTTCCTAGGCTCTTGGCTGTCTTCCTTCAATTCTTCCAGCCTCCATGAGAGGAATGCAGTCCTGAGGGAGGGGCTGACTCATGTACACTTCATCAAGTCAGGTTGGCCCAAAAAGCCCAGGACATTTATTCTCATCTCTTGCATTCACTGACACAAGCTAGCATGTCCATAAAATGAGCCTGAGCAGTAAAGCTAACAGAGTCCCCATGTTCTCCTTAGGGAATCCAGAGTAATTCCTAGAAACATCCACCCTCCTTCCCACCTTGGGCCCCTCTTACCCTGGCACAGTTTAACAAGGCCCATGACAATGATGGCAATGAGTGCTAGGACCTTGGCGTATGTGAACGCGTCCTGCACACGTGTGCCCCACTTGACGTAAGCACAGTTCACAAACGTCAGCAGACCTAGAAGGAAAACCATATAGTCACTGGCAGGCTTGAGCTTGGGGCAGAGAAGTCCCTGGAAGTCCCCTGCAGGCCCAGAAATGGTTGACTTCACCCACCCTTCCCCACTCAGACTCCCAAGTTCCAAACCACAAGAGATACAAGACCTCTCCATGACCACATCAGAGAGTGAGGACAAGAGAGACCATCAGTAAGTAAGGTAAATTTGAATGCAGATGGCAGGTCACCTAACAAATTAGAGACAATGTTTTGCATATAAGTGTAAAAAAAAAGAGCCAACAATTTCACATACATCCTCTCAATCAATTCTCACAACCCCAAAATACACATATTCCTATTCCCATTTAATAGATGAGGAGACTAAGATAGAGAGAAGCTAACTACTATTCTTAAACTCATTTTCAACCAAGCCCACTGATTACCTCACCCTCATTCCTATCCAAACCTCCCAATTCTCAGTGAAGTCCATGGAAAATGCACCTGCTTGAGTGTTCCTGAAGCTCATGTCACCACTGCTGGCTTTAAGTCCAGCTCCTCATACACCTCAGTGACATCTGGGCTCTGTTGAGGGACCCAGCATGTTGCCCCTGCTAAGCAAAGACTGGTCTTCCATGAGGAGGACAAAAGAGCAATATCCAAGGGGTTCTGCAGCAAGAAGGAACACAGTGACACCTCGAAGTATTGCCTCTTGCATTCAAAAATAGAACTTTTATGTGCACATCAAATGTTATTACAAAATATCTTGGGCCCATCCTCTAGGCCATCTCCACCTACTTGCACCAGTCTACACTCTTTCTCCTTTAGTCAGACTCTCTCTTCATTATTCATGCCAGATACCCACATAAAAGAAATGTTCTCCCCTCCTCTTCCTGCCATAGCCATAGCCAGCAGCCACTCCCACTTTCAAGGTCTAACTCACCCCTACTTCCTCTGTAAAACTTACACCAAATATACCAGCTGGCCCCTCCCTGAGCTTTCTCACGGAACCCCATGGCGTTCCTACTTCACAGCACAGCTTAGTGTCTAATGCAGCGGTCATATGGACATCTGTCTCTGTCTCAAGTAAGTCTCTCCCTCGGGTGTTTGTGTGGTGCTTCCCCACCCAAGGAGATCACAAATTCTCAGGACAATAAAAGTATATTGTTTTCTTAAGTTGATTATCAAACAAAGATGGGAAACACTGAAACCTGATCAGAATCCAGGTGGTGAAGACTTCACTTAACTGCCAATTTCCTGAGACAAGGCAAATTGCTAGAAAATTGGATGTTTTTCCACCCAAATGGAGAAGTGCCTAGGGCCAGCGCGTGGAAATAAACAATGTAGCTGAAGAGCCTTCATGAACTTTCAGCTCAATTTTTATGGTGGCAAATAAGCAGGTGTATACTAGTCAGTCACATGAAGTGGGGTAAGGGGACAGTGGTTAAGGGGAAAGAAGAAGAAGCCCAAAGGAATGCATGCTGCTGGTATGTCTTCCCAAGGACCTACCCTGCTGATTAAAGTTCTCTGTATGCAGCCGGCCTCGGTGGCTCAGCCTGTGATCCTAGCGCCTTGGGAGGCTGAGGTGAGTGGATTGCCTGAGCCTGCAGGTTTGAGACCCGCCCAGGCAACTTGGTGAGACCTCATCTCCACAATAAATCAAAAATTAGTTGGGTATGGTAGCGCGCGCCTGTACTTCCGGCTACTTGGAAGGCTGAGGCGGAAGCATCGCTGGAGCCCAGTGGGTCGAGGCTGCGGTGGCTGGAAGCGTGCCACTGCCCTCCAGTCCAGTGGGACTCCGACTCAAAAAAAAAAAAAAAAAAAAAGTTATCTGTGTGGATTAAGCCTGGATCAGCTAACATAAGGATTACCTGGTAAACAGTTACCAGTAATCCACACACCACTGTATAATACAGTAACCATATTCTGAGGTACCTACCCAGCTCAGCTCCTTCTTGGGAACTGTTTTCCCCTCCCTATCATGGTTGATGAAACCAGACACTGGACCCAGCTGAGCCTATTAGATCATATCTTACAAGAACACAGAATTGGAATACCAAGAAACTGAATCTAACAGTAGCAGGCAAAAGAGTTGGGAACCACAGCAAGTCAAAGTAAAATACAAGCCTTTAGTAAAAAAAAATAAAAAGAACAGAAACCACAAGTAAGCAGAGGAAGAACACAGGACCACAAAAAGAAGCTGAACTGAAAGAGCATGCAGCTTTGAGAAAAAAACTGACAGATACAGGGTGCGCACCTGTAGTCCCAGGCTGAGAGAGGATCACTTGAGCCCAAGAGTTAGGGCCTGGAGTGTGCCATAATCATGCCTGTGAACAGCAACTGCATTCCAGTCAGGGCAACATAACAAGACCCTGCCTCTAAAAAAACAGCAACAACAACAAAAAAGACTTACAAGGAAATACACAAAAGACAGAGACAGAGGGGAGAAAGACATCAAGAGACAAAGACAAGGAGGCAACAAGAGAGGATGGGAACAAAAAAGGAGACTATCTGACGACACCCTTGCTGTGCTTACTGTGTTTCTTGTTTGTAGCCCCAAAGAGAAGCTGACACACTCCTCAGACCCACTGGCAGGCACTCCATCTCACTTCTGCTTTTTCTCCTTCCCTCCATTCTGCTACAATCTTCCTACAGAGTTAGTCTCTCTGCACACAAGTAAATATCACACACAGTGGAAATTCAATGACTATGTGCCAAACTAATGAATGAAGCAGCTGCTTGTGGAAGCCCCTGCAGAGTCCACTCCAAAAGACCAACTGGAAGGACACAAAAGTGCCTGGTTAGAGTGGTTGCCTCTGGGGAGGAATGGAGGACACCTTTTCTCACTGTATACCCTTATATACCTTGACTGATTTACTGTGCACATATGCTTCCTTCTCTAAAAATAAAAAGTTTATTAGCAACAATGTATAGGCAGAAAACAGAGTCAGGGGCAGGATGAAGCTAGTAGGATGTAGGTGGCTAGTAGGTGGCTAGGGCACAAAATTTAAGGAGGCACTGCCTCTCAGAGGACCACAGGCAGGAACCTGAGACTGAGTACATCCTTAAATACTGTCCCGGGGCACCTCGCTTGCCTCACCCTGCTCTCAGTCCAGCCAGAACAGAGAGATTCCACCAATTCTCCTGACGGTTTTCCTGATTCTAATTAAGAAACAAAATTTCACCATCTGATCTCTGCCCCTCCCTACCGCCCAGAACTCCCAGACCCATCTAACTCACCATACTCTCTTATCAGAGTTTAAACAAAGATAACAGGGCTGGGCCATAAGGCCAGATGCTCAGCTCAAATACCACAATTAAAATATCCAAGCCTTACCTTTTCTCCTGACCTCATTTCCTTATTTAGATAACCCTACACCAAAGACCCAGGTAAGGGTCTTTAAGGCTCTCTGGGAGGTTGTTGGTGAGAAAGGAGTACTTGAATGGCAGATCTAGACCCAACTCCAAAGCACAAACAAATCCACAAAGTCTCTCTGTGGCAGAGACCATAGTTATCTTCCATTGTCTGTTCTTCCCTTTTTTCCTTGGGAATAGAAATTTTCACTGAAGACAAGGCTGCCCAAAATAAAACAGACAATCCCTTGCCTTTCCAGTATGAAGAAGCTATGGCCATGTGACTAGGTCTTCCTCTAGAGATGTATGCAAATCTTTCATACAAGACCTCAGGAAGTATCTTTAAAGGGAGAGGTGTGCCTTTACCTTCCAGTCATCTACAATGCAGATATGACAGCTGGAGCTAGAATAGCCATCCTCTCATGGGCTAGAAGTCACATGTTGAGGATGGCAGAACAGTAAGAAAGAATGACCCTAGATTCCTGAAGCACTAAAGGCATTCAGCCCACACTACCCACCTTTAAAATGTGAGAGAAATCAACTTCAATATGTGTGAGCCACGTTGCTTTAGGTTTTCTGTTGTTTGAAACCCAAGCTAATACTGCATAATATCTACAACCTCTGACAGAACTGAACCTCATATACTGTCTTTCTGATGAGGAGATGGCCTGGCAACCTGAAGTTGAAGTCCCAGCTATACTGACAGTTACCCCTCCCTTTTCCCACAGGCAAAAGAAAGGGGAGGGAAACCTTCCAACTCCTCCCACAAACAGGCTTGGTGTTACAAAGGAGCATTCAAGGACAAAGGAATACAATCCTAAACAACAACAAGAGAAAAGGTGGGAGGGAAAAAAAGGCAGGGCTGGGGTGGGGGACAGAAATTACAAGTCTATTAGTAGTGAAATTCTCTACAACAGTCCAGGAGAAGTAAATTCTTCCAAAAGGAGACCCCAGAATCAATAGCTACCTCCTGGGATGTAGATAAGTATGTAACATACACGCCTTATTTTATTTATTTATTTATTTTTTTGAGTTGGAGTCTCACTCTGTTACCCAGACTGGAGTGCAGTGGCTGCTCCCGGCCACCGCAGCCTCGACCTGCTGGGCTCCGGCGATCCTTCCGCCTCAGCCTTCCGAGTAGCCAGAATTATAGGCGCGCGCTACCACACCCGGCTAATTTTTGATTTATAGTAGAGATGAG